TGTATGCTTAGTAATGCAAGGAGACTAAATAACAAAATGGGAATCTAGAGGCAATTGCATACACTAGACAATATAATATAACTGAAGCATGGTGGGATGAGACACATGGCTGGGCAGTTAACCTAAATGGGTATACACACTGGAAAGGACAGAAAATCAGGAAAGGTGGTGGGGTATGTTTGTATGTCAACCATGAGTTAAAGCCAAATCTTAAGAAAGTGGAATGTGATGGGAAAAGCTTTATTGGTAAATATCAGCTTGGGGTAAAAGAAGAAAAAACAACTATTGGTTGGGATATGATGTAAACCACCTAATGTTAATATTGACGAGGAACAACAGCTGTTAATATTGATCTTTTGACCAACATTCAAGTAGGTGAGCACTTGGGAAATAGTGATCACAATATAGTGTCCTTTGAAATAAACTCAAAAAAACAAAAGTACATGGGGTATACTAAAACATATCATTTTAAAGAGGCCAATTTTTATAAGTTAAGGGCAGCTTTACAATATATTGACTGGCATAAACTCTTTAGTGAAAAGAACACTGCGGAAAATGGAACATCTTCCAACAAATATTAGAAAGGTACATTTCTCAATATGTACCATTGGGTAATAAGTATAAAATAAACAATTTGAAACCAATGTGGCTTAGTGGGGAAGTGAATTGAGAAATTAAAAATAAGAAAAGTGCATTCAAAGCATTTAAATCTGACAAATCAGAGGCACCCTATAAAAGATATAAGGAAGCCAAAAATGCGTGCAAAATGGCGATAAGATTCACAAAACTTCAAAATGAAAAAAAAGATAGCCAAAGAGAGCAAAACCAACCCCAAAGCATTTTTGAAGTACATAAATTCTACATAAACACTAAAAACTGGGATGGTGGGGTTAGTTAATGAAGACCAGGAAAAGGCAGAAATGTTAAATAACTATTTATCCTCTGAATAAAATAAGAAAAAACCCATGGCAATAGTTGTACAAATGATTGCTGCTAAAATCTTGCAGAAAAATTGTAATTGGCTAACTCAAGAATAGGTGCTGCAGCAACTAAATGAAGTTAATATAAACAAAACTCCAGGGCATGACGGCGTTCATCCATGAGTACTGACCCTCACTGCCAATCTACTCATATAACTCTATCCTCACGTCAGCCCTGGATGCTGCAGCCCCTCTCCAAATACACACCTCGAGGGGGATACGCATCCAACCGTGGCACACTAAATCAACACGCTACCTGCAGAGATGTTTCAGTTCTGCTGAATGATGCCGGAGGAAGTCTCACACCGAGTCAGACTTTCTACACTACAAATTCATCTTGAGTTCATACAGCGCAGCCCTTGCCCTTGCCAAACAGTCATACTTTTCTTCTCTTATTAGCTCATTATCTCACAATCCCAGGCGTCTCTTTGATACCTTTAACTTTCTACTTTGCCCTGCTGCGGCCACCCCCCAAACTAACCTTACAGCTGATAATTTTGCATGCTACTTTACTGACAAGATTGAACAGCTAAGGAAAGAATTCTCACCACCTTGCCCCTCACTTTCTCAACCACACCTGGATCATGCCTCTCCAACCCTTCCGACCTTTTCCCAGGCTACTGAATAAGAGGTGGCTGCGCTTATCCTTTCCTCTCGCCCCACCACATGCCAGCTGGATCCTGTCCCGTCGCACCTTTTCAGATCTCTCTTCTCTTGTTTTGTGCCCTCCTTAACACACATCTTCAACTGCTCTCTTTCT